AAATTCAGTGCAACAAAAACATATCCTGAGCATATGATGAGTAACAGGATATTCTCAACTTCTTCGCTGTTCTTAATCCTTCCTCTTTTTTGAAGGAAATGTCACTCAAATTATCTTTTCAATTCTTCTATTCTTTACACATGAACCTCAGCAATAAGTAATGGGGCACTGAGCTATACAATTAATTTTGTCCTTATCGGAAATGCTAAAACCAGCATAATGCTGGCTCCCTATGCAATGTGTTTGTAGGCAGTTTTCACAAATTTTTAAGGGAAAGAATGGTTTTTAGGACTAGGTATTTCCACAAACCAACATGATTATTTAGATGATTATGTGTGTTTGTGGTATCAGAAATAATCTTTAAAAAAAAACTCTGGTGTCTTCCCTATGATAGCAGAAGTCTTTCTGGTAAATTTTCTGTTAAAAGTAATAAACCAGAAGATTCTTCACACCAATAAATCTCCCATTTCAAGTAAAGGTCTCTATTTTGTTCAGTTTTCTCTTTTTGTTGTTAACAGTATGCATGTCAATACATAAAAGTGTTGATGAAATTCTTATAAAAACAATAATAAGTTTTTTAATGCATAAAAGAACCTTTAGAAATACCTTCTACATAGTCATAATGGGAAAAGACATCAACTGCCAATTATTCAGGAAGTGATAACCTGAAAGATCTGGCCAGGAACTTTTCTCTTCCCTCTTCTGCTCATCCACAGACAGAGAGGCAACCTGAAATGAAATGATGTATCTACCTGTCAGTGTATAGGTTACCCATAACTCAGTGGAAAGAGGTTCAAAGCTCCTGATGGCAAGGGTGTTTGGGGATCACCTGTGAATTTTATATCTCAATGGAGAATTGACAGTCATTTATATGCTAAGAAGTACAATACTCTGACCTCGATTAGAATCAAATTAATTTAAGGCAATACTGCTCCTCAGACATTGCTGACAAAAAGTGCAGGTCTTATCAGAAAAGTGACTGTAGAAGTGAGATTGTCCCAGTTTACCTCTTCCTTCTTGACTTCTCTACAATCACATTTCAACATTTCCAACAACAGTTAAATGGCAAGCGCAACAACAGCCTTGACCCTTCCCTGTAATGATCAGGGAGCAAAGGTTCTTCCACCAGGAATCTGGGTGACTCTGTGCCCCATGCAGCTTTTTCGGGACAGTCTCCAGTGGTCTTCTCCCTGCCCATATTACCTATATGGGCTAAGGGGAAAACAGGATTCTATCAATAGGAAGATAAGCAGTTATGGCTATAAGACTTATAGGCACCACCAGATGGGAGGAGAAAATGGGACCATTTAGTCACTTCTCTAAGAGCAGTAAGTAATGAACAAAGTATTTTAAAAATCTGTTTTTTCCTTTTTGCTAAAAGAACCGGTTTTTATTTTTTTATGACTGTTTCTAAAAAGCCAATGCTATCAGAATATGGCACACTATGTACAGGGGAGTCTACCTGGTCAGTGTTCGCCTCCCACATGACTATTCCCTACACAACTGCTATTTTCCCAAAAGAGAAGCCTTTGAATGCAAGTTCTATTCTGTTCTCAGTCCCTCCAAAAGCTGATTACTCAGGGGTCTTGTTCCTTTATTTGGCTGAAGATCTTACAGCCAATCACCACAGTTACCTTTTAAGGACATTTCCAGTGAATAAATAAATAATCTTGATATTCCCCAAAGTAATTTTCATACAAAGGCAACACTCGTTAAAAATCAAGGCTCTAAAATGTTAACCACTTACGTGTAAATTGAATGCACCATATTATAACAGGTGTTCCCAAAGAACAAGTTGGCACAAGACAAATTTAAAGAATATTTGACAGTATTAAAGAAAAATAATTATCCGTTAAAAGTTAATTATTTTTACACCAGAAAGTCCTGATACTGAGGGAAAAATATGGTCAAAGTCAGCAATGCATATTCATCATCCACGTTTGGCTTCAGGCCACAGTAGAGAAGAAAAGGGAAAATGGGTCCAGTTCATAATTTTCTTTGTAAGTTCTATTGAACAAAAGGCCAAATATCACCCATTCTGGAATATGTTGATCTAGATCCAAGTGACCACTGCCATTCTGAGAAGGTTTTCCTCCTGAGAGCAACTATCCATTATCTTTCTCTTCTAATTCCCGTGTTTCTATGATCAAAGGCCATACAGTCTTTCTTGCCGTTCATTACACTGTTCATTGCTGGTTATTGTAAAGACATTTGAGAAACAGTAACTCAGTGGTATGCAAAGTGCCTTTCTAAAAATCTCAGTGTTCTCTTAAAGTGAGTGTAGTTCTGTCTAGTCTCCTAATAAATAATATGGCTGACGATGGTTTGACACTAAAATCAAAATTTTTTTTCAATTCAGACCATTTAAGCGGACCGTATCTCACTTTGCCATTAGGCAATGACTTACAACAAGTTAGGTTGGGGGAAAGGGCTGTTATCTGTCCAGAATAAGGCTCCTTAACACATTGTGCTCAGTTAGCAATACTGGTGCTAATGGAGCCTGGCCTCCAGAGAACAGAGGTATAGAAACAGAAAGATTTCCCAAGGCCAGAATCATTTGTTTACATCACAACATTAAAGCATAATACATTGTGGACCTAAAAATTAAAACTGTGTGTGTTCCGGCAGTAGGGACAGGAAAAAATAAATGCTCCCACATTTATATAGAAATGACAAAGTGAAAAGCAGAGAACACAGTGAAGAACGTTTGGCAGTACATTAAAAATACCATTGTTAGTTGCTTTTATAGTTTCAAAGCTAATTACATTATTTGAATGAGAATAAGAGGATTTAGCTGGCTGAGTTTGATTTCTGTCTCCTTATTCACAGGGGAAGAATTACTCTGATATGCTTTAAAGAGTATTTCCTTTACAATAAAAATTAAGTTAAATTAAAATATTCTAAAAATACTAATCATTTAAAAACCTTAAAAAAAATCAAATTTTCAATACAATGTTGAATTGGGTGTCACAAAGGAAATACCACCTTTGGTCACTCATTAAGACAGTTGAAATACTAACATTCTGGTTAAGTGTGAAGTGGCCTGACAGTTTTGAAGGAAATATAGCCAGTTAGCATTTCATAATAATAAATATAATTGAATAAAGTACATAAGAAACAAGAGGAATGCAGAATTTAAAAAAGTAAAAATGATCATTGCATGAGTATAAAAATAAACATTTATAAAATAAAAATATGGCAAATGATATCGTTCATTTGCTTAATTATCAAATAAGAAAACACTGTTGCTTTTTTCTTTAAAGCTACCATAAAAACTTTTAAAAACATGAAGCAAAATCACAGGGCAGACAAAAAAACATGTAAGTCAACAAGGCCTAAGCTTTGGATATTGAAACCACCCTCTCTGCAACTAGACTTAAGGCCAGGACCCCATTTTGTTTGCCATTGGCTAAATGAAGGCTTTTTACTCATGCCTTTCATCACGGCCATTCAAAGTCCTGTTATTTTGCCTTTCCCAGTTTCTCTGAAATAACTATCTCCCTTAGGGTTTTGTATCTTTATCATGCTCTTCAAAGTTAACTCTTAGATACCTTTTGCCCAAATTCCTACAATCCAAACACTTTCTGAAACTAAAGACCCTTCTCAAAATGGAACACCCACATCACTCTCAAAACTACTCTTAATAGCTTCCTGAATATTGCCTGACTTTAAAGTCTATTGGGAAAGATAAGGCAAACTGAAGGCATTTCCCAATGGGAAAAGAATGGATTATGAACTTTTTTCAAGTCACCTACACATTTCTTTCCTAAACGAAAACTGTACTAGAATGTCAAAAAAGTCAGATTCATACAGTGAAAACTTAAAGGCAGTCAAGTTGAAGGGATGGTGTGTGATTGACATTTGTGTTAACTAACTAGTATAGGAAAACAAGCATTCCCATAAGGTTTGCAGTTAAACAAAGACTATTTCTTAAAGAGGAGTTTAAAGGTCTTGTATAAAGGATCAAATGACCATATATCATTAATGATGTGTAGAACTAAATACATGCATAAAGAAGTACTTTATTAATTTTGACTTGATGGTGAATTATCTATTTATTGAGGAATACATAAAATATTTTTGAAGTTGTCAACAAATATTGCTATGTGTTTTAAGCAAGAGGAAAACTTGGATCTATGGCCAGAGAGAATAATGAAATCATCGTTTATAAACACCTCTTCCCAATTCTACTTGCCTTGGCTATATAAAAGAATGTAAAAATAAGAGAAGGGATAGAAAGTTTTCATTTTTAGTGGATTCTACACAGGCCTGAGTTAGGATATTATAGAATTAATTTTTTTCAATTAATACTAATCAATGGGCAATGCCCAGAGGCTTCAGAAGTCTTGGCCTATTGATGAAGCAATAGCAAGAAAGTGTTAGAGGAGGATATCTAGGTCAATTTTCCCTGGAGAGTATGTATAAGAATCTGCAAAACCTCCATAGTCCTGATAGAGTAACACATTTCAATTGTTCCAAGTATGGTCTTTTTAAAATTCTTTATGGTTGTGATTTTTTTTTTTTCTTTTCCTAAAGAGTACAAAAAGCAAAAGGCTCTTTCAATATATCATATACTAATGAACCCCAAAACAACTGTTTTTACACTCTTCTGTTCTGCATTTCATCCAAACATTATTTTATTTACCTTGATCATTATCTTCACTAAATTCTAATTCCTAAATAAAGTGTAGTCCCTAGATACCAATATTTCATACCTAAGAAAAAATGGCATTTTATAGATCTCTTAGATACTAAATCCATGGAAGTATATGCAGTGTAAAGGTGGTCAATATTCAGAAGCTAGAGTTTCTTGTACTGCCCAAGTGATCAGAAATAACCAAAATATTTTAAATGCATTAAAATTATTTATGGTCAGAAAAACATTGAGGATAAATCCCAGGAGTACAAACATAGGAGGAAAAATAAATGTGGAGTGCATTCTGCATCATCCAGTAATATTTGCTACAGTGAGTCCGTTTTCAAGGCAGATTCCTAGGTTTTTACTGCTTATAATGGAAACCTGGGAAAGAGAGAAAAAAAATAACATTAAGAAAAAAAAAAAAACTTTGAAAATAAGGGGATGGGGGCAGGTGGGGAGAGGTAAAGGGGTGGGGGGAAGTGTGCATATATTTGATCTGTAACAATATCTTATGAAAAACCACAGTAGCTTAAATAAGTAGTGTTTACAGATAACTTAATGTTATAATGTAATTCTTAGTATTTTATTCATTGCTCAGTGATTTACCATTGTGCAATCAATAAACATAGCTTTGTGGAAAAAAAAATAAATAAGCAATTTACAGATTCAATGCAATGCCTATCAAAATAACAATGGCATTTTTCAGGGAACTAGATCAAAGAATCCTAAAATTTATACTGAACCATAAAATATCCCAAATAGGTGCAGTAAACCCTTATTAGAGGAAAAAAAACAAAGTTAGAGATAGCATACTACCAGATATCAAACATATTGCAAGGCTATAATAATCAAAACATTATGGCACTGCATAAAAACAGACATATAAATCCATGTAACAGAATAGAGATCCCAGAAATAAATCCGTGGCTATATGGTCAATTCCTCTATAACAATAAAGGCAAGAATATATATTAGGGTAAAGACAATCTTTTCAATAAATGGTGTTGGGAGAATTGGATAGATAAATGAAAAAGAATGAAACAACATCACTTTCTTATACCATATACAAAAGTAACTTCGAAATGGACTGACAACTTAAAATAAGACTTGAGACCATAAAACTCCTAAAAGAAAACATAGGTAGTAAACTCTTTGATGCCATTCTTAGCAATATTTCTTTTGGATATGTGTCCTCAAGCAAAGGAAACAAAAGAAAAAAAAAAATAAACAACTGGGACTACATCAAAGTAAAAAGGTTTTGCACAATGAAGGTAACCATCAACAAAAAGAAAAAGACAACCTACTGAATGAAGAGAAGATCTTTGCCAATAATATATTTCATAAGGGGTTAACATCCAAAATACATAACATAAAAGACAACACCATGAAAATAAATAATCCAATTTAAAAACTGGCAGAGGACCTGAACAGACACTTCTCCAAAGAGGTCATACAGATGGCAAATAGATATCTAAAAAGATGTTCAACATCACTAATCATAAGAGAAATGCAATTTAAAACCACAATGAGATACCACCTCATACACTTGTTAGAATGGCTATCATCAATAACTTATCAAACAAGTGTTGGCGAAGAGGGGAAGAAAAGAGAACTCTCATGCACTGTTGGTAGGAATGCAGACTGGTGCAGCCACTATGGAAAATGACGTGGAGGTTCCTTTAAAAGTTAACTACCGCAGATAGAGCAATTCCATTTTGGGGCATTTATCCAAAGAAACCAAATCACCAATTCAAAAAGATATACATAACCCTATATTCACTACAGCATTATTTACAATAGTCAAGATATGAAATCAACCAAAGTGTACATCTATAGACAAGTAGACTGAAAAGTTGTAGTACATATAAACAATTGAATAAGAAATCTCACCATTTGGGACAACATGAGTGGACCTAGAGGGTATTATGCTAAGTGAAACAAACCTGACAGAGAAAAACAAATATATAATTTCACTTATATGTGGAATCTAAAAAACAAAGTAAAGTAGAAATAAACTCAGAGAGCCAGAGAACAAATTGATGACTGCAAGATGGGAGGTGGGTTGGGAGATTAGGTGAAAAAGGTACGAGGATTAAGATGTACAGATTGGCAGTTAGAAAAAATAGCCACAGGGTTAAAGTACAGTATAGGAGATATAGTCAATAATATTTGAATAATTCTTCAAAGTGTCATATGGGAACTATACTTATTGAGGCGATCATTTAGTAAGTTAAATAAATGTCTAATCACTATGTAGTACACCTGATACTAATATAGCATTACTTTTCAACTATAATTAAAATACTTTAAGAAGTAAAAAATGTTAAATCTTGAAACTCAGTTTTTCTCCCTGCTTGGGCAAAATTATTTATCTTTATTATTTTTTTAATGTTATTTATCTATACACTTCAAGTGAATCATATTTTCTTTGCTCTTAATTACAAAATATTTACATAAGGAATCAATGTGGTAGCCCTGCCCATGTGGCTCAGTGGTTGACAGTTAACCTATGAACCCGGAGGTCAGAGTTCTATTTATGATCAGGTTGCAGTCTTGATCCCCAGTGTGGGGCAAATGCAGGAGGCAGCCGATCAATGTTTTTCTCTCATCATTGATGTATCTGTCTCTCTCTCCTCCTTTTCTCTTTGAAATCAATAAAAATATTATTTTTAAAGAAAGAATCAATGTATTGTTTTAACATTATGTACTAAGTATATGTCAAGAACAGAAAGACACCCCTTAAAAAGTAATGCAGGTTTATAGTTTAAGAAAAAAAGAAATCATGAGCTACTTCCCATTAAACCAAGGATAGTAAAAAGGCCACCAAAGAATGAGACTGTAATTTATACGTTGTTGTGATAAAGTCCAACTAATCCTATCTTTTAAATAATGTCTTATTTTCAACATTAGATGATTATCAGAATGGAGGGGTTGGGGCAAAAGAGCTTTAAAAATATCAATGACTAGCAACCTCCCTCCCCTTGAAATTCTGATGTAGTTTGGAGTGGCATCTATATATTGGTATTTTGTAATGACTGCAAAATAAAAAAAAAAGTTAAAGATGTTTGGGAATGTTAGATTTGGAAAAGGATAATAAAAACACTACCTAATAAATCTTCGAAGAAACCATAAGAAATAATAAATATCAATATCTAGCAAGCCAACTGCAATCTGCTTTCAGATATTTTACTTATATGACTCTGACAACACAGATACTATTAAAATTATCTCAATTTTTAGATGAGGAAATTAATGTAAGAAAGTACTTGTCATCTCATTTTATAACTATCTTAAAAATACACTTTAGTGAGTGCATATGCTTTAAAGAACTATACTTTTAACCATTACTTTCATTCTAAAGATATGGTCCAACCTAAATCTCATATTCTTTCCTCATTTTCTTTGTCCCATTTTTCTTTTGCATAAGTGTTTTATGTTCTATGTGTACACATGTATGTACTTTTAACTCCAATAATTAAAGTTTTGGGCCGATGGGAATAAAAGCTAAAACAGACAAATCCCAGGAAATCTAAATGGTGGCCACAGTTATCCTTTAAGAATCTGATGAAAGCAATGAAATCTCTCTGCAGAAGAACAAAAATACATAAGAAAATCTTGATTCAATTTAAGGTGTTTTGTTTCTCTATTTTTAAAAATTATTTTTAATAAATGAAGAATAGTATAATGCTCTGTGGAGAGGAAGGATAACTAATTTTTCCACTCCAGTGATCTATAACCCAGCATTTGATTTTTCCACCATACCATAAGAATTACTTAAAAAAAGATCCCACACTTGACCATATATATTTTTCTTACCTTTATGAGAGGACTCTGATTTTGAGAAATGGCGTGTGGAATAAGTGTAATCCAAATCCTCAGCATCTGTCATGGTAGGTGGTGGCGGCCTGGAGGAAGGTCTGTATTTAGAGATATTCTAAGCACTGGTGACTACAATTCTACTGCTCACTGGGTCACATGGTAAAAACATTTTTGGTACAAATGCAAAGTCAGAATTTTGAGAATTCACAGTTTAGTTCCTGGCCAGTTGCATGACCTTGGATAAATTATTTTATCTTATTGTTCCTTTGTTTGTATGTACATAGTTCAATAAAAATGTGTATTTTTGAATACCCAGTATGTGTGAGGCATTGTGCTAAGGACTAGAGGATAAAGGTTAATGTGATGTGACCACTGTCCCTAATGAAAAATTTATTTAGTTTTGGTAGATTTTATAAAAGAAAAAGAGGAAGACAGAAAAGAATAGAAACGAAGAAAGTAATAAAGAAAGATAAGGAACCAGGGAGAGGGGAAGAGAGGGAGCATTGTTTAACACACAAAATTTACTGCAAAATTCTTTAATCCACTAGGTGGCAAAGTAGAGCTTAGAAAAGGAAAAGGCAGTCATGTATTGGCAACTTTTCAAGTAAAAAGGAAACATTGGAAAAAACATTGGAAAATTTATACTGCTCTAAACTTTTTATTATTTTAATCATGTAACAGATTTTTGCAAACATTTGGCTTTAATGAAGATTAAGAATAGAATATCTTATTTTCCGTTGTTTCCCAAAGGTATACTCAAACGTTGCATTAAAGCATGGAACTACATAAGGTTAAGATTTGTCAACATATAACCATATTGTAGAATATTTTGTAAACTAAATATATAATCTGGAAGGCATAAGTAGTCTGAAGTTTGGAAAGTTACAGTTATATAGGTACAATAGGTTCTGTTGTATAAAAATAAAATCAAGTATTTTCAAATTTCTCACCCTATCCCCAAATGGTAGGCCTCACCTGTATATTCAGTATCTACAAGAAGTCAGCAGGGGATGTAAAGTTATATATACAGTAAGGACTCTACTATGAATTTTATATGAATACATCTCAATTAACTTTTAAGCTAAGCCTGCACAGTAGCTATCATACACATATTTTTGAATTAGATAAGATGTGGTAAGTGATCTGTTCAAGTTCACACAATTGTGAAGTGGCAGAGACAGGGCTCAAACTCACATGGACTTCAAAATCAGTTCTCTTAACCACCCTACTATGCTCTGCCACAGTGGTGTACATTATCAGTGGCTGTGTCTTCATTCAAAACTACAGAGAAAAATAAAATACCAAGTAGTATTACCACTATAAAATCCTATAGTTAAAAGAATTTGGAACTTGGGTTGAAACGTTTTCCAATTACAAAGTGGTATAATTCATTTAGATTGCCACTGGTTCCCTAATTCTTTAGAAAGAGTAGAACATCTTATAACAGACAAAGAAATTGACTTTTGACCAAAAATGCTGCAAGCTCTGAGTCTCTGCATCCCCTCTGCTACTATCATTGCTGCACTGAAGTAAGCATCTTGACCGAGGCAGATTCACGTTTTTCAATCCTTCAAACCATTTCTTTCTATACAAATGGCTGAACTTTTCTACTATGACTAATTTTTTTTTAAACCCACTCCAAGGACATATTTTTTATTGATTTTAGAGAGAGAGGAAGGGAAAAACAGGGAGAGAGAAAGGGAAAGAGGAAGGGTGGGAGGAAGGGAGAGAGGGATGGGGAAAGAAAGGAAGGGAAGGAGGGAGGAAGCAGGGAGACCAATGAGAAAGAGAAACATCAATTGGCTGCCTCCCGTATGCCCCTCAACTGGGCATCAAACCTGAAACCTTCTAGTGTACAGGATAACACTTGAACCAACTGAGCGACCCAGCCAGGAATACCACAATTAATTTCAAAAGAGAAATACAAAGATTCTAACCAGAAAGCATGCACTCTGATATTAGTTGCACAGATAGTGCTAAGATAATAAGCTGTAATTTTTAACTGGGAACATACAGGTTACATACAATTCTTCATATTTGTTTTGACACACACACACACACACACACACACACACACACACACACACACACATAATCTTTGTGTAAATGATATATAAAGATAAATGTTCCTCTCAGGTCAAATAAGATTTCAGTTTGACTAGTCTTATGTAACTTTTCACTTATTTATAAGAGCCATTTTTAATACATGTTCATTTATTTATTCTTACAATATGCCAAATATTTTTAAGAGTGTCTACTACAGTCCAAAAACATGTTTTCAACTTTAATAAACCTTCTTAATGGCCATTCCTGAGTGTTTTACATTATCTGCTATAAAGTTATTACTGTTCTAAAGCCCCTGGACTTTCAAGATGGCAAAATAACCTTAAAGATTTTAACGCACTTGACTAAAAAAAAAAACATAAGAAACTACATCTAAAGACCTACTGAGAATAGATTAGTTAGCTGTTACTTTACTTGGATATTTTAGGAATGTAAATAAAACTAAACCATGAGTTACTAAAATCTGCTTAAAAATTGTTTGGCATGTGCTTAGCTAAAAGGTACAAGAATAACTTAGTTTGCGTGATTAAACTACACTACTGTTGCACTAAGAGCTTTACAAACCTGATAAAATTTTCTAAAGGGTATTTATCTTCAGAAGGCCTTGAGTTTAAAAATAGAAGGTGGCTTTTAAAGGTCACTAAATACATTCACTTTAAGGAAATTAGCCGAGCAGTTTGTGGGCAATAAAGGGCAACAACAGTGTATGTTTTCAGTGTGATAAATCTTACATTTTAAAAATATATTATTAAAAATCAGGACCAAATTCAAGGTCCCAATAATTAAAAGTTCTCAAAATGTCACATTTAGTGTTGCCATTTTATATTTCATGTTCTTTACTCCTATTCCCATCATATTTTCTTTTTAAAGGCAACAGAAAGCAATGAAGAAAAAAGAAAAGGTTGCTTCCCCAGAGACCCAGAGGTTGACAACTTGAGGTGGAAAGACAGCAGCTGGTCCATTATTCTGGCCTAAGACTGCTTGAGAGAAGTCAGAAAGTACATATCCCACAGCCACAGTCATTTGGCCTGGTGGGATTTAGAACAGTCTGCAATGACTCAAGAAGTATTTACCTAGGAAGCTGAGACTCACACAAAAATGAATTTAAGCATGTGTAAATGTCAGGACCCCACCAATGTGATCATGAACCTCAGAACAGTGTTAATCTCGTCTCTTCTTCGCTGAGGGCAGTTCAGTGAAGACATAGGCAAGAACCGGTCCTAACAAAAAGCACGTCCTTCCTTTCTATGCCCCAGCTTTGCTGAAATTCCCTGTCTTTCTGATTTGATTTGTTCAAACTCAATTTAAAAGACTGGAAACAAAAGTCTTAGAATACCCCACAAGACTTGGTATCACCTCAGATCCTGAGGGGCATGTTTGTTCCTCCCCAAAGAACAAACATGCCCCTCAGGCAACATCTCCTCACTCAAGGAAAAGTCAGGTCCTCAATCTGCTGCAGGATATCAACTTACCTTGCAGGCCTGTCATTCTTAGAGCGGTGAGGTTCATCACTGTCTTTTGTCTTTGAGTGGGCTGATTTAGCTGTTTTGGGCTAAAGAAAAGAAAAAAAAAAAAAAAAAAAGAACACATCCCGTAAACAAAGAAAGAAAAAGATTAGGTATAGATAATATCTAATATCACACTACTCTCCTTTAATGATTTCAGGTTAGTACTTACATTCAATAGAAGAACATAAACTATTTTAAATACAATCACTTAGAGATTAAAAAGAAGTTATAGTCACAAAGGTATGTTGGCAGCTATCAATGTAGTCAGATGAGTGGGTTAACTAACTTCAGGTGAATATGCTCCCCTATGGCTGTGGCTGGCCAGTACAGCTACACAGCAGCTAACAAGAACTGGCGGGCTCCCAATCTATGAAAACTTAGGTTTGTGCTCTTCCCCTTATTTCTGAACACCTGATTTCCAAGCCAGAAAACGAAGGCCCATTTCATGGCATTTTTTTCAGAAAGAGAACTGTACCAGCGTCAGTTAAAAAAGCTAGACAGCACAGAAGTTCTGATACTTGATAGAAATGTGGCCTCTTACTTTCCTGATTTTTAATCCTTAAAAATACCTACTCCTTCACAGTCAGGTTAACAAAGAAATGGAATAACTCCCAGGCAACTATTTGTAGCTTAATTAATGGACAAGCATGTGAGAAGCTTTCTACTAAAAATGAAATAGATTAGGAAAAATCTTGAATTAGAAAAAGGGTAAAAGAGGGAATAAATATAAATAATTAACATGGAAATAATCCTGTCACTTGCTTTTAGTATGACAAATGGGTAAATGAGCAATAGGAAGTAAAGTAATATTATTATCATGTTTTCTATATCTTCTTTCCTCAAGGTCAAGAATCAGACAGGACCAGAGACCCAGAGGAGGAATTTGAGAGAGAGAACAGGTGGATACAGACCCTCACTTCATCCTCCTGTCTAGTATAAACTCCCTTCCTAGAAAGACTTTACCAAATGAACTCTCCCCCTCCTCCTTTGTTCTTCCATTATGCTTTCATAAGCCAGCATGACCTTGTATTTGTTAGCAGTCTACAGTCTGTCTCCCTGTCCACATTCTACATTATTGTGAGAAAATATATGACTGTCTTTCTCTCTAAGTCCAAAGGGATACTTTGCACACAGTAACAAATCTGTAAAGTCCATTAAATTGAATTTCAGCCACCATATACAACAATTAGATTACTTTATAATAGGATGAACTGAGAGCAGTTAGGGGTTGATCAGGCTGGCAGGGGCGCAGTTAGGGGGCATCAAGCAGGCAGGCAGAGGCAGTTAGAAGCAAACAGGCAGACAGGCAGGCGAACAGTTAGGAGCCAGCAGTCCTGGATTGCGAGAGGGATGTCAGACTTCAAGATTAGGCCTAAATATCCCCCGAGGGGTCCCCGATTGGAGAGGGTGCAGACCCTCCCCCCATGCATGAATTCCATGCACCGGGCCGCTAGTGGGTACATAACCAGAGATGAAGCACAATATTAGTACACTAGAGGCCTGGTGCATGGATTCATGCAACAACGGGGTTCCTCTAGCAATCTGAGACCCCTCAGGAGATGTCGGACTGCTGGATTCAGCCTGATCCCTGCAGGCCTGACCAGCAGTCCGACATCCCCCAAGGGATGTAGCAGTGGATGAAGCAGGGGGTGGCCAGGGAGGAGCCCAAGCCAGGGCCGCTGTGCCACTCCTGTTCATCCAGGCCCCATTGCGCCTGCCATAACCTCTCCGTAGTGCTGCTGCAGAAGTTGCCGTGAGCCCAACTTCTGGCTGAGCAGCACTCCTGCTGTGGAAGCACAATGACCACCAGAGGGTAGCTCCTGCATTGATCATCTGCCCCCTGATGGTCAGTGCGCATCATAGCGACTGGTCGTAATGGTCACTTAGGCTTTATATAGATAGGGAAAGAACAGAGAGGAAGAAAAGGCCATCTGAAAGCACATGAAAACACTATGCTCTTCTGTAAAAATAAGTATAGTAAAACTAAGATTGCTCATGACCCGAGAGCACTCGCACTTCAGTTGATCTTAAAATGAATTAAATGAATTTTTCAATCTTAGCAGTAGCTATTTAAGTAGTTACGTTCAAGAATTTAGTATGATATTTTATAGTAAAATAACTTTCACAAGTCAGATGCACATGTGATACAGATAATCTGTTTACCTCAATAAATTTGCAGAGCTTACCCTAAAAGCAGAGTCCCCTTCACAGTTCTAATTTAACTTCTCATTTAAAAAACAGACAAACGGACAAAAAACAGACCCTACCTTACAATCGGGATCATGTTTTCGTTTGTCCAATGACGATTTCTCCTTGGCTTTCTTGTAAGCTTTCTTTTCTTCAGCCATTAAAAGTCTAGCAATTTCCTAAACAAATCAAACCCATACTGTCATTGATTACAGAGTTGCAGGTAGAAAATTACTTTCTGAAGAATATTGGCTAGACAAAGTCATTCACTACCATGAACTCACCTCGTCCTGGGCCACTTGAGCTGCTCTCAGATCCACCTGGGTAGCCTATAGTATTGAAAATACAAACAAAAAATTTAATTGGATTCTATGCTGTCCTTTATTTAGAATCCTACATAAAAATAAATAGGTATTTAAAACTAGTTGCTATTAACATCTTTCAAGTTGGTAAAGGTTGGTATACATTTGACAGCTAGAGCAGGGTCTATTTTTAACCAAATTCTACAGCAGATTCTTAGAGAATTATCAAAACTCAATAATGGAGAAATATGGGTATGAAATTCTATTGCTAACATTTGCTCAGTAAATAAAACTATATACTCTAATCGTGTTGTTTTGATTCTTTCCACTGATAATAAAAAAAAGTATAAGCTTCTCAACTGATAAAGGATTATAATGCCTATGACATAATCTCAAGAATGACTCAATTCACAAAAAAACCTTATACACCTGAACTTCTGCATTAAAATTTACTCACCAAAATTTCTTCTTCTTGCAGTTTTCTGGCAATTTCAGCATCATACCATTCCTGATTTTTGGGGGTAACTCGCGATGGAGTAGAGACTGATTCTTTCATGCCCCTCGGCTTCATTCCTAGAAAAAACTCAATACAGTAAGGCAACCATGTTTGTTTTTTAAAAATTTGCAAAATTTAGGGTAAAAACAACAAACAAAAAAATATAACCTTTACCTTAAAGTTTACCCTTTCTTTGCTATCTAACACTGACAATACTGCTGCCACTCCAAATTTCAGTGCAGGGTGCACTGGAAATAATGTTTCCCCTAAAACATGGAAGTGGTGATGCAGACAATCCACACAAAGTTACCCACCCAACACTGCCTGATAAAATCTCCCCCCTCACATAGTTTCTTCAAGAATAGGAAATCAGGCAAGAAACTGTGAGGCTTTTGCAAAACAAAAAGTTAAAAAAAAGAAAAAGAAAAAAAGGCCCTACCCCAGTTTGGCTCAGTGGATAGAGCATTGAACTATGTATGGACTTGCAGTGTTTCCCAAACTTTTGACATAGGTGTACCCCTTCTATAATTTTTGTAACGCTGAGTACCCATCGTATTCATGAGAACATAGAATTAGGCGCAGATAAGCACAGTACAGTGCATATCCCCACCAAACTCCGGTGCAACGCGTTCCCCCACCAAACTCTTCCCATACCCCTAGGGGTACGCGTACCACAATCTGGGGAAACACTGGACTAAAAGGTCCCAGGTTTGATTCCAGTCAAGGGCACATGTCTGGGTTGTGGGCTGGATCCCCAGTGAGGGTGAGGGGTGTGCTGGAGGCAGCCGATCCATAATTCTCTTTCTAATTGATGTTTCTCTCTCTCTCTCTCTCTCTCTCTCTCTCTCTCTCTCTCTCTCTCTCTCTCTCTCTCTCTCTCTCTCTCTCTCTCTCTTCCTCTCTGGAATCAATAGAATGCATTAAAAAAAAAAAACCAACCTCTTAAATTAAAAAAAAAAATTAAGTCAATGAAATAAATAGAATTTAGAGATAAATACAGGGCTGAGGTTTTAATGAAGCTAAACTGTCAAGACTGAAGGAAATGAGAGGCTTCCCTCTATGTGCCTCAGCTTTGCACACCTTCCCTCCAACAGCATTCCAGGGGAGTCATGTGACTGAGAACCTGTTAGTACCCAGTGGTCCTGCTGGGGTTTCTGCTCTGATGGCCAATAAGCCCACTTGCTTTTCTTATCTCCCCTATAGCTCTGATCAGTGTACTGTTGTGAAATTTTATGGAGGGTATAACATTAAAGAAAACAGATCACAATGTCTATTCTACTCCTCTGAGAAAGGAATAGGCGGGACAAGGGGGGATTTGGGCTTTTTATTTTGAAATTTTAAATGCCTCCTATATTCCTTTTGTAACTTTTAATGGATTGGTAAATGCTGATGGTCATTTCCAAAATCATGGATATTCCCCTCTTCTGTGCCCTTTCTAAATTACAACTATTCAACAATGTGAATATATTATAGTCAGAAATAATTAAAAATGTTGAATGCAGTAAATGAGATTAACTATCTCAAATAGTGACTTCAGTAAAAGGACTGCTGACTGCCTATTTCTTTATATCTGGTTCTCAACCATGGCTGTGTACTAGAATCACTCGTGGTGCTTTAAAGAAACATAGAAACTTGACCCAAATCCCAGGGATTCCGATTTAAGTAGCCTGGAGAGATCTTGCCTTTAGTATTTTGTTTTTTAAAAACCTTTAACAGTTGATTCTTATTCACAATTAGCATTAGAACTATCAGTTTAGTGTATTATATCCATCAAATAACTACACATTAAAATGGTTTTTAGCAAAATGCCTCATCACACTTAATTTGCTTGCTTTAAACGAAAAAAGAAAAAAGGAAAGACAAGAAACTACAATAAATTCTGGGCAGATGAAGAGAGTTTAAGTTTTCTGGTGAAGCCTTTCTTAGTAGAGCTTTGAACCTAGCTTTGCGGTAAATCTAAAGCCACACACTCATCTGCCCTTCCCACACAAAATAAGACTATTAAACATGGTTTTCTTAGCTGCAGGCCAATTAGTACATGATTGCCCAGAAGAGAATCCACTTCAACTTCCCATCGTTTCTACAGTTACTGACTCTTATGCTGGCAGACCTGGTTTTAATCCAGATTTCTGAGTGGTTTGGGACAATCACAAAACAGTAGCACACTCCCAAGAGTGGACCATATTTAAGTGGAATATAAACCTCCCTGAGTTATGATTAGTGTGGTCATAGCTAGAAAGGAATATTTTAGACAAAATAAATAAAATTATATAAGGAAGTTCATATTGGGCAGTCAGATCGGGCAGTCAAAAGATTGCTATATCATATTCCTATCTATAGAAAAATGACACATTGAGCAGCCCAAGGCCTAGGAAGACTACCCTTATGCCTTGCCCCTTCAATTTTGCCATCCATAGTGAAAGAAACAATATAGTGGGATGTATTCATCTTTGTCCACAATTATGCCTCCGACTCTACATCACAGAATTAACTGAGAAAATGTTTTCATACCTATCAAAGACCTTGGAAGGTATTAAAATGCAATAGTCTTAATTGGCTTGACTTTGAGAAGACTGTAACCTCCTGGCAGTTAGAGAGAGAATGATGGAACAGAATAAAAAGCCCAGAAAAAAAAGGAAAAAAAAAAAAAAAAAACCTTTAACGTCTGATCATTTACAACAAATGAACCAAAAATATATAAGAGGAAAAGAACAGTCTCTTCAATAAATGGTGTTGAGAAAAACTAGACAGTCACATGCAAAAGAATTAAACTGGACCACTATCTTCTACCATATGCAAATATTAGCTCAAAATGAATTAAATAATTAAGCATAAGACCCAAAACCATAAAACTCCTAGGCAAAACATAGCCAGTCAGACCCTTATCATTGGTCTTGGAGATGACATTTTTTGGTTTTGACACCAAAAGCAAAGGCAACAAAATAAAAAATACCAAGTGGGGCCAATCATTCTAAAAAGCTTCCACAAAGCAAAAGAAACCATTAACAGAACCAATGGCAACCTACTAAAAAGAAGAAAGTATTTGCAAATCACAGAGCTAATAAGGGGTATTTTCCAAAATATATAAAGAACTCATACAATACAATCTAGCTATATAATAGAGGAGTCTACAAATTAGCCAAGACACCGTAACATCACAACTGAACAGCAGGGACCTGAGGCTGCATGGCGCCTGGCCGGGGCGAGGGATCTCAGGCCTTGTCCCCTGCTGCCAGGGTTTGATGGAGGCCTTCAGGCCGCGCCGCCCACCCAAAGGGGCTTGAAAGGACCTCAGGCCATGACCTCCTTCCCTGCATCAGATCGGGGGACCTTAGGCCGTATCCCCTGCCTGGATGGGCTTGACGGGGTTGGGGTGGGGCTGGCCAGGTCTGGGTCTCCTGCGTTTTCGAAGCATGCGCGGGTAGTGGGCAGGGACTTGACTCTAGGTCCTGTGGCACGCCCCAAAACTCTGACAGAAGGGAATTTTCATGTACATTTTATTAATTTTCTTTCATCTCCAACACTTCTATTATGGAGAAAGGGCAAATAGCAATATTAAAATATTTCCTCTAATTAATTCCCTTTTAAAACAAATTTCATGCACCGGGCTACTAGTAGCAATATATGATTAAAAATGGACAGAGGATCTGAACAGACATTTTTTTTCAAAGAAGACATACAGATGGTTAATAGGTACATGAAAAAATGCTCAAAATCACTAATTAACAGGAAAATGCAAATTAAAAAACTTGTTAGAATGGCTATTATAAACAAAAAATAAGTGTTAGTGAGAAAATGGAGAAGAGGTAACCACTATGAACAGTTGAATTAGTGCAACCATTATCAAAACCAGTTTGGATGTTACTTGAAAAATTAAAAATAGAACTACTATATTACTCCTCAATTCCCATTCTGGATATTTGTCTGAAGGAATGAAAACACTAACTGGAAAAGGTATATACACCCATGTTAACTGAAGCATTGTTTACAACAGCTAAGACATGGAAATAACCCAAGAGCCTACTGATGGATAAATGATTAAAGGAGCTGAGGAATACAGTCATGCGCTGCTTAACAAGGAGGATAGTTCTGAGAAATGCATTGGTAGGCAGCTTTATCATTGTGGGAATATCACAGAGTACACTTACACAAACCTAGATGATACAACCTGCACACCGGGCTATACTGCATAGCCTATCCCTCCTAGGCTACATGCCTGCATAGCATGTTACTGTACAAAGCAACATGAGATCAAATCTTAGAGAAAATAATGCAATCAAAAAAGTAAACACGAGGTGTAGAAAGCTGTTGCTGGCATAATGAGATACACTGTTTTACAGCAAAGTCTTTTTTTTAATAGGTAAAAAGAGAAACTGGGTTCAAGGATGGCAAGCTCAACAGCGGTGGCAGGAGCCTCTCCTGCCTCCATGCCAGTGGTAAGGATGTCTGACTGACAGCTTAGGCCCACTCCCCATCTGTTGGACATCCCAAGAGCTCCCTAGACCCCCACCAAGTGCATAAATATCATGCACCAGACCTTTAGTACTTTTGTAAGATTAGCAGTTCAGGTTTGTTTACACCAGCATTACCACAAACAGCTGCCTTGTGGCTCTGACACTGAGATGGCTATGATGTTACTAGCCAATAGAGAATTTTCAGCTCCATTGTATTCCATTAGGACCATCATCATATACATACACAGCCTGTGACGAAAATGTCATTTTTGGCTCATAACTATCCTATAAAATAAAGAAGTAATATGCAAATCGACCATCGCTCTAACACACAAAATGGCCATGTGGTCAAAGATGGCAGCCACAAGATGGCCAGCAGGGGAGGGCAGTTGTGGGTGATTAAAGCCAGCAGGGGAGTGTAGTTGGGGGAAAGTAGGACTGTAGGGGAGGGCAGTTGAGGGAGGGCCCCAGGCCTGCAGGGGTGGGCACTTGAGGGTGACCTGCCCTGCAGAGGTGGGCAGTTGGGGGGACCCAGGCCTGCAAGGGACGGAAGTTAGGGGTGACCAGGCTGGCAGTGGAGGACAGTTAGGGGCAATCGGATCAGCAAGGGAGCAGTTAGGCAT